TTTTTTTTTTTTTTTTTTTTTTTTTGGTGTTTTTGGCTTTTTGAGACAGGAAACGGGGTCTTTGTAGTTCAGGCTGGCCCTGAACTCATTCATTGTGCAGCCAAGGCTAGCCTGGAACTCAGAGCTATCCTCATGCCTCTGCCTCCTGAGTGCTGGGATTATAGGCGTGTGCTACCATGCCTGGCTACATTTCTTTTCTCTGTTCTCTTTTTTTAACAGGGTGACAGCTGCCCATTCCGTCACTGTGAAGCTGCACTAGGAAATGAAACTGTTTGCACATTATGGCAAGAAGGACGCTGTTTTCGACAGGTGTGCAGGTTTCGGCACATGGAGATTGATGTAAGTCTTCAGTACCACCAATAAGTATTTTTTGGTGGGCAAAAAGAAAAAGAGTTTTTTTTGGGGGGGTCATTTTTCATTACTGGGGATGGAACCTAAGGCTGTTAGCATGCTAATATAGTGCTCTACCATTGAGACTCTCCACTCCCAACCCTTTTGGGTCTCTCTAAGTTACCCAAGCTGCCCTGAAACGTCTAATCCTCCTACCTCAGTCTCCTGAGGAACTGGGGTTTCAGGTGTGCACCACAGTGCCCATAAAACAACAAAACTTTCAGAGGGAAAACTAACTTCTGATATGGAACGATCGGGACATACTGTCAAATGAAAAACTTAAGTATGGGACAAAGTATACAAAATAGGAGAGAAAAGAACATTTTTTTTTTGTTTGCCTGTATATTTTTTTATTATTTTTTTGGTACCAGGAATCAAACTCAGGACCTTGCATTTGTGAGGCAGGTGCTGGCACCACTGAGCTAAATCTCTAGTCCTGCCTGTATATTTTTTAGATCTCTGGAAGTACAAAAAGAGAACCTTAATAATGACTGTAGGAAAGGGCTGAAAAGGATCTCTTGTACAGTTACCTCTTCTGTAGTTTATTTCCATTGTCTATAGTATAGGTTCCATATTAGCCATTTTTCCTACTTGCTAATATAGTACTTAATCTGTAACTCCCAAATCACTGCTTGAGTACTTAGGTCATTCGAAGGACATAGAGTACAGCATTCACCAGATATGCATATTTTCAGTTGAGGTGTTGACAGCTCTGCCTTCATGTTTCAGCTCTCGTACTGTAATTAAGTATTCTTTTCATAGACTGCTTGGTGCCATGATTTTATCCAGTTTTTTGTTTTTTGGTCATTCTGCTCTTTAAAATGGTTCCAAAACATAAGACTGAAGTATAGCATATTGTTTGAAAACATGAATGTTAGGTAGGCTTTGTTTAAGCATGAGTTAATTGCTTGCTGTGCAGCCCAAGCTGGCCTTAAACTCATGGCATTCCTCCTGCCTCAGCCTTCCAAATGCTGGGGTTACAGGTGTGTGCCACCACACCTGACTAAGAATGTTTTTGTAATGGTATTTTTGTTTCCTCCATATTTTCAGATCTCTGAAGTAATTCTGCTGTTCTTTTCTGAAATATAAACAAACTTAAAACTAATCATTGTGATGAGAGATCCAACATACAGTTGGTTAACTCTACAAAAGCACTTTTTAGTTGTTTTAAAAAATTGAATTAATAAAGTGTAGAAAAGTACACAAATAATAATCTTAAAATTTGAAGAATTTTCCCCAAAGTGAATATAGTTATTTCAATTGCACTTAGTTTCAGAAAAAGAGTATTATTTCTATCCCTGGTACCAAAAAGAAAAAGAGCGTTAATGACGTTCTTTTCTTCTGTCTTATTATTTCTTTGCCTTCAACCATACCCCTAAAGCTAATCTCTATCCAGACTATCCTACATTAGAAAAGTTTTGACTCTTTTGATATTTGTATAATAATAACTATGGTAGTGGTTAGTTCCTACTTATCACTAGATGGTGTTTTATTGTACAAATACAGTACAGTGTATCTGTTCTGGTATTGATGTACATTTGAGTTGTTTGCAAAATTTTGAAGCTATTACAAATAGTACTGCTGTGAAAGTTCCTTTTTGCCCGCCACCCTGTTTCTGGGGATAGAACCCACAGCCTTTCACGTGCTGTCAAGTAGCTGTACACATCTTTTGGAGATGTGTATTCAACTCTTAGACATAGAACCTATGTTCTCTTCTTCCTCCTCCTCTGCCTCTTCCTCCTCTTCCTCTTCTTCTTCTTCCTCTTCTTTCTTCTGTTCTTTTTTATTTCTTTTTTCTTCCTGTACTAAGAATTGAACCCAGACATAGATCCAGACATAGATATACAGCAGTTTATACTAGATGTATAGGTGTTTTGGTTTTGTTTTTTGCTTTTGTGGTACGGGGAGTCTGGCGCAGGGCCTCATGCATGCTAGACAAGTGCTCAGCCATTAAGCTAAGCCTTCAATCCCCATCCTTCTATTATGGGAGTGATGTAGCTTGGAAGAATACATTCTACTTACTCTTAGTGTATTATTGCACATACCTTACTTGGAAAAGTTGCCAGGTGTTAGCATGCAGGAGGCTGAAACAAGAGGATTTCAGTGAGTTCAAGGCCAGCCTGAACTGCATAGCAAGACCCTGTCTCAAAAAAAAAAAGTTATGAGAAAAATTTTCTAACAACCTTGAACTCATAGCTTCAAATAATAGCTGCATTTCATTGAGTCTGTTCCATGTACTATGTGCTTTAAATACATTATTTCTTGTAATCTTTATAAGAAGTGAATTAGCCCTCTTCCATAAATTTTTTGAGACTGACACATGCTAAGCAAGCACTCTACCACTGAGCTACATCTCTTGCCTTTCTTTTTTTTTCTTTCTTTCTTTTTTTTTTTTAGTTTTTGTTTTGAGACAGGGTCTCATTAAGTTTCCCAAGCTGATGTCAAATTTACAGTCTTCCTGTCTTAGCCTCCTGAGGAGCTGGGATTATACAGGGATGAGCCTGATACTCTTACATTTTATTGCTAAGGAAGGTGAGTCTGAAGGCATTAAATTGTCCAGGGTCACATAGCTATTAAGTAGCATAATGGAAATGAAAATTCCATTATGTTGTCTTTGATTCTGTAAACCTGTTTGTGACAGTCTTGCCCTGTAGTTCAGGTTGGCCTGGAGCTCACTGTGTAGTAGAACTTGCTGTGATCCTCCTGCCTTGGATTATAGGCATACGCTACCACACCTGGCTGATGATTCCATAATCGTAGCTACTGTATCCTGTTTCTCTAAATTAAGTGTAGACATTTGGGTTTGGGGATGAGGCCAAGGAGGAAAGAAGAGCAGATAAACTAGCCCGCTGCTCCTTTTCACCTCTCCTCCATGCCTAAACTGTTGTCACTTTCAGTGACCCCTCTTCTTACTGCTAATAGTCATGTCACATGCCTCAGATTTTGAACCCTGTATGAATTTGGTCCAGAAAAACAACAGGTCTTACTTCATTTTTTAATGGAAAATCTTTTTTTCTCTTACAGAAAAAACGCAGTGAGATTCCGTGTTACTGGGAAAATCAGCCAATGGGATGTCAAAAACTAAACTGTGCTTTCCATCACAACAGAGGACGCTATGTTGATGGCCTATTCCTACCTCCAAGCAAAAGTGAGATCAGTTCTTAATTTTAAAAGAATAGTTCCTGTTAGTTAGACACCTGTTGTGCACACTGTACCAGATACTTCACGCACATTGCCTTCTTTCAGCCCACTGATGGAGCAGTACTACTTCCACTTAAATGAACCTGATTATGGTTAAATGATTTGTACCCACTCATGCAACCAAACTTTTCTTGGCATGCCAGATTAGGTTGCTACAGCTTGTTTCATGTCCTATTTTCTTATCAGACCAATAAGGTTTTCAAATGAAATTTGACTCTGCAGCCAGTGGTGGTGAACCTATGGGAAGCATGCCCACCGTGGGCAGTTTGTATTCCTGACAGCTCCTCAGAGGTTCACCATTGCTCCTCTAGACCATGGTGTGGCAGATCTGGTCCTCTGCCTATTTTGTAAAACAAAGATTGGAATGTAGCCTTCCTTGCCCATTCATTTGCATATGTTTGTATGGCTAATTTTCTGCTACTGCTGAAGAACAAATAATTGAGACAGAGGCTGTGTGGCCCAGAATGCCTAGCATATTAACTGCCTGGCTCAGCACAGAAAATATTTGGTAACCCTAACCCTCTAGGCTGTCACCTAAAATACGTACCCTGTAGAAAGCTAGTATTTATTTCCAAAGTCTCCTTTAATTTAATTTCCCTAGTGGCGTTATTGGCCACTTAAAGGTCAGATCTGGACCTAGGGGTATTACTACTTGGTTGACATGCATGAGGCCCTGGGTTTAATCCTCAGCATTAAAAGTTAAATAGAAAGTTACCAGCTATATGATTAAAATTTGTGGGCTACATCTTTTTACTTTAATGACAAAGTAGGCTCACTCTTTTCTGATTTGTTCAAGTAAATACTATTTTTCATTCTTCTACCCTTGCCCCCATCCTTACTGGGAATTGGACTCAGGGACTTATGCATGCTAGGCAAACATTCTACCACTGGGCTACACTGTTGTATGATTAAATAAAGGGGTTGATAAACTCAACTCTTTTTATTTATTTAATTTAATTTATTTATTTATTTGGGCTTTTTTTTTTTTTTTTGTCTTTCTGAGACAGGGTCTCACTATGTAGTTTAGAATGGTCTTGGACTCACTATATTACCCAGGCTGGCCTTGAACTCACAGTGGTCCTCCTGCCTCAGCCTCCCAAATGCTGGGATTATAGCCATGTGCCACCACACCCAATCTACCTTACTCCTTTTTTAAAAATTTAATTTTGAAACAAGGTCTCACTGAGTTGCCCTGCCTGGCCTTAAATTCATGATCCTCCTGCTTTAACCTCCCAAAGAGTGGAGACTATAGGTGCATACCACCACACCTGACTTACCTTCTGTCTCTGAAAAACTATTTCTTTGCTGATCAAAAAAAGCATAGAATCTTAATTTTAAAATTAAGTGCATAAACTTTGAAACAACTAGTATGCATCTAGCCTTCTGTTTATTCTGTGTTGAGTACCACTATGTTTCCATTCAGTGAAGAGTTACTGACTAAAAGCACATTTTTAGTTCCCCAAAAGTTTAGAAACTAAATGGAAGAATTAGGTAAAAAGATACAAAAACTTATAAGGAAAATATACCAAACTTACCCTAAAAGACCAGAAATTTTTTGTTGAATTGGAATTGTATGTTCTTCGTTAATTTATGACTGGTTTTGTATATTTAGCTGTATTGCCCACTGTGCTTGAGTCACAAGAAGAAGAAGTAAAGGCCAGCCAGCTCACGGCTCAACAGAACAAATTGTCTGTCCAGTCTAACCCTTCCCCTCAGCTGCGGAGTGTTATGAAAGTAGAAAGTTCTGAAAATGTTCCTAGCCCGACACATCCACCAGTTGTAATCAATGCTGCAGATGATGATGAAGATGATGACGGTAAGTTTTAGTTATTTTTGCTGAACTGAGGATGGAGGCCAGGGCCTCTTGCATGCTAGCCAGGTTCTCTACCCCTACCTCTCTATTTTGAGATAGGATCTTGCTATATTCCCAGCTCTTTTTGTTTTGTGACAGAACCTTGCTAAGATGCCCATGCTGGCCTCAAACTTGTGATCCTCCTGCCTTATCCTCCCAAGTAGCTGGGACTGCAAGTGTGTGCTACCATACCTAGCTAGCCTTCTTTTAAATGCAAGCAAGCCGGGCGTGGTTGCACACGCCTATAATCCCAGCACTCGGGAGGCTGAGGTAGGAGGATCGCTGTGAGTTCAAGACCAGCCTGGGCTACATAGTTCCAGGTCAGTCTCAACTACATAGTGAGACCCTGTCTCAAAAAACAAACAAACAAACAAATGTAAACAAACAGGGTCATGGAATGAATTGGACAGAATCAGTATTAAAGCCGTAGGCCTGTTTTTAATTGTAAATTGATCTTAAATGTTGATACACAGACCAATTTTCTGAGGAGGGTGATGAAAGCAAAACACCTACTCTACAAGCAACTCCTGAAGTCCACAATGGATTACGAGTGGCTCCTGCACGAAAACCCGGAGTCAATTTAAAGCAAGGTAAGAAGAGGTGGTATAGTTGCTAAATTTTAAACACAACTAAATATGTCCACACTACTTTAACTACATTTGAAGTTTAGTTCAGAATCACTGAATTCCCTCTTCCCTCCCCAAGCTACATGTATAACTTACATGTACACTTTCTTAATCCTTCATTCAAAAAATACTTGAATGCTTGCTATAAATGTATGAAAAGCAAAGGTGTTTAAAAAGGGTCTAGTTCCTCATGTGATTTCTATTTGGGTTTCTCAGGTGAAAGTTTAAATTTTGGAATAAAAACTCTCGAGGAAATTAAGTCAAAGAAAATGAAGGAAAAATTCAAGAAGCAGGGTGGTAAGTCATCGCATGCTTTGCCAGGGATGGTTGTATGTTACAAGAGAAAAATAGGGACGCTGGAAGCAACAGCCAAGATGAGCAAATAGATTTTGATTTCTCTGAGTTGAAGTAAAACTGCCACTGTGTTTCATTCCTTACCTATTCATAACTCACCTAACCTAAAAGGACCTATATATCTTGGGAAATATGAAACATACCATTAACAATACTGGAGCAAAAAAAGCTTCATTTGTGGTAGAATCCTCAAAAGTTTCTAGGATTTTTTTCTGAGGCTTGCCTCAACCTCTGGCTGGTTTATATTTCCGCTCTAAAAATTGTAGGTCAGGTGTGAAATGTATTCTATGGAGAGAAACAAATAGTTGATTCTGAGAATTTTTCTTTCTTTTTTCTTTTTTTTTTGCTACCGGGGATTGAACTCAGGTCCTTGCGCTTGCAAGGCAGAATTTTTCTTAAAGCTTGCTGTGTTGGAACCTTGGGGTTAAGATTTTATAAATGATTAAATTTAGATAGAAAAGTTTGGATTGACACGCCAGATGACTAATATGCTTCTGAGGTTAACTCTAGAATAACATTACCCTTTTTTTTTTTTTCCTCCCAGTTCCAGAAATTGAACCTCAGGCCTTTGCAATGAGGTACATCTCCAACCCCTTTTTTAGTTTTCACTTTGAGACAAGGTCTCACTAAATTGCCCAGGCAGTACTCAAACTTAAGATCCTCCTCTCTCAGCCTTCCAGAGTCCCGGGACAGGGATTGCAGTGTGCATCGCCATGCCTGGCTCAGTTTTATGTTTTGTTTTCACATTGTGCCTGAGACGCCCCCAGCCGTCACATCATTTCATTGTAGGTAGAGAAGATGTACAGAAAGGTTGACTGGCATATAGTGACAGAGCAGTCTGTGTTGGACGTAACTGGCTAAGAATCAAAATTTCTTACCTTGTGATAGCTTTATTTTTCACGAATCATTTGTTGTTTCGACTTGTCTTATTCAGAAGTTTCTTCAAATGTTTCCAGTCTGCTACTCCAACCTCAGCCTGTTCCAGGTCCTGAAAAAGAGAATGTTCGGACTGTGGTGAGGACAGTAACCCTGTCAAACAAACAAGGTAAAGCATAGGTAGACCCAAGAGTTGTTGGACTTCTACTTTTATATAATTTGAAATGGAAAATTCTTGTTTGTTTGTTGCTTTTTAACTTTTTCAGTTTTGATGACCTTGCAGGAAGACTAGTTATATGTTTATTGAGTATAAAGATGAAAAGAGACCAGGTGTGGTAGCACCTGGCAGTAAACCCAGCACGCTAGGGCTAAGGTAGAAGGATCAAGGGTAAGCCCAACTTGGACAAATTAGCGAGACCCTGTCTTAAGATTTTAAGAAAGCCTTGGTGGGTGGGTAGGTAGCTCAGGGCAAAGGCCCTCGGTTCAGTCCTCAGTAATGTGGGAGGGAGGAGGGAAGGATAAAGAACAGAGAAGTTATATCTGACTCCAGTATGGGAAATGTTGGAATTCTTACTCAACCAGCTTTCACTGTTTATATCAATTTTTACATTTGCTGTTCACCTGTATTCGTTCAGCAAACTTACTGACTTTTCTTTATGAGTAAAACTGTAATATACCCTTCAAGTTATAGAAAAATTAATTCTAGTTTTATTTTTATATATTTATTTATTTTGGAACTGGGGATTGAACTCTGGACCTTGGCTTGTGAGGCAGGCAGTGGCATCACTGAGCTATATCCCAGCCCCAGTTTTAAGTCTAGTAAGAAGTAGGACATAAATAAATTTGTAGTGTACAGATACATTTAAATGTTTTATGCCATTCAAATAACAAAGAATCAGCAGAAAGAGCTTGCTTGCTGGGGGTGATTAAGTTATATAACCTACCATATTCTGTAAGCAAAAGTACAGTTTGGGCTTTATAACCAGTTGGTTAAAAACACAATCTGTCTTCTGCTTGGCTGCTGTTAATAATTAATACTGTGCTATTGCTTTTGTTTGGGCTATACATTTGACTGTTTAAATTATTAAAGGTTTTTGTTTTTCCTTTTGTTTGTTTGTTTGTTTGGTACCAGGGATTGAACTGGGGTCCTTGTGCTTGCAAGGCAGTCCACCGAACTGCTGAGCTAAATCCCCAGCCCTGTTTTTCCTTTTATATGTCTTTGTTAAGACTGAGAGGTGATTTTTCAAGAGAGTTCCTGGGTGGACTCAAACTAGAATATACTTTGTACCTATTAGTAGCTACCCATACAGAAAACTTGGCTAATGGTAGAGAAATGCTGTTTTTGCCATTTCAGGAGAAGAACCCTTGGTTAGATTGAGTCTTACTGAGAGACTGGGGAAACGAAAACTTTCAGAAGGTGAGATAAAGTTTTGTGTGCACCTTTTGTTTTCTGCTTGTTCTGCATTAGCATGGTATCTTTGCCAAACTGTTGTTATAAATCCCATCAATGTTGGTTTCCCGATCCCCCTGAATATTGGACTGAAAATACTTACAAAATTTCCTCATGTTTTTCATGTGGGTATTGTACCTTGTATTGAAGTTACAGAAACTTTAAGCAATGCAATTTAATTAATTATGACCGTGAATAACTAGTTAACTGGAGTCGGGACACTTGCTTTAGGTCTTGTCTCCTGTCAGTAATTAGTAACTTGGGTAAGGTAGACAATCTTTCAATACCTTCAAGTGAGTTTGTTTGTTTGTTTTTGGTACAAGGGATCGAACTCAGACCCTTGTGCTTGGGAAGCAGTCACCCCGAACCACTGAGCTAAATCCCAGGCTGTTTTGTTTGTTTTTTGAGATGTCTTGGTATGTCATTTAGGCTGCTCTTAAACTCATGGTGAGCCTCCTGCCTTAGCCTCCCTGTTGTTGAAATTACAGGCATGTGCCACCACGTCCAATGGCCTTTTTTTTTTTTTTTTTAATGGTTTTTGAGACATGGTCTCACTGTGTATGTAGTGCAGACTGGTCTTAAACTCACTATGTAGCACAGACTGGCCTCAGACTCACAGCGATCCACATGCCTCAGCCTCCTGAGTGCTGGACTTACAGCTATGCACCATCATGCATGGCTGTTGAAAACCTTAGGATTCTTACCTGGAATTGAAGAGAGGCTACACGGCTTTCAGATTCTTTATGTCACAAGAATACCTTAAAAGTTTATGATGTAGCAGCATTTGGCCAGTTAAGTTTTTTTGTGTTTTGTTTTGTTTTTTATGCCAGGGATCACACTCAGGACCTTGAGCTTGCGAGGCAGGTAGTGGAACCACTCAGCTAAATCCCTGGCCCAGGCTAGTTAAGGATTTTGTAAACATTTTTCATATTTCTAATTCTGAACTTGAAGCTCCATTTTTAGTTTTAGTCAGTTATTTGGTAGGTATTCATTTGTACATTTTAATTTTTGCCTCTCCCTTACCACTCTAGAATATTTTTACCCCTTTTCTAACATTGAATTCCTAAGGAAGCTGGTGCATACACATACCATGTAAATGCAGAAAACTTACATAATTATTCTCCATTGTCTGTTTTTGCTTATATTTCTTTTTTTTTTTTTCTTCTTTTTTTTTTTTTTTAATTCGAATGTGTTTGCAGCCGGGCCTGGTAGCACAGGCCTGTAATCTCAGCACTTGGCAGGCTGAGGCAAGAGGATCCCTGTGAGTTCCATACCAGCCTGGGCTACATAGTGAGTTCCACGTCAGTCTCAACCACATAGTGAGACACTGTCTCAAAAAACCAAAAAAAAACAAGACTATGTTTGCAATACACAATATATTATGTGAGGTGTGTGTGTATATGTGTGTGTGTGTGTGTGTGTGTGTGTGTGTGTGTATCACAACTTGAGCCTTTTACTTCCTTTACCCTCTGTCCTATCATCCCTGTCTCTTTTCCTATTTATCTTCTTTCTTCTTGTATCTCTTGACCTTGCTAAAGATTAAAATCTTAAACCAAGTTCCCCACATTTGTAGGTGGTGACAATGATCCCCCATTAAAGCGGAGCCTGGCGCAGAGGCTGGGGAAGAAAGTTGAAGCTCCAGAAATGAATATTGACAAAATACCAAAGAAAGGTACCTGTGTTCTAGTATGCTGTGTATCTGTGATCCTGACACTTACTGTAATGTTAACAAATATGGTTCATCATTCTGTTGTTCAGGCCAATTAGGTTATGTTTTGGTATCTGTTACTCATTCAACAAACATTTTAAGTGTTTACTCTGCTAGATTCTGGGTTAGACACTACTGAACAGAATACAGTGGTATTGTATACCTTAGGGACTTGCAGTGTAATGACAGGTAAGAATATTTACAGATATTGTGATAAATTCTGTGACAGAGAAAAATATAGTAGTTAGTGTTGTCATCTCTCAGGGAAAGGTTCATACAGGGTCTTTTGAAATTTGGACCTGAAGAGGGAATGATCCCTGCAGAATCCCAGAGCTAAGAAAGTATGGGATGCTTGAGGAACTGTGTAGCTAGCTATACCACAGAGTTGGAGTAAAGAGCATGGTTACTAGCGGAGGAGGAAGAGCAGAAACAGGATCGTTGGAGAACTTTTGAAGCCATCTAAAAGAATTTGGGCTCTTCCTAGGATAGTAAGAAACCATTGAAAGGTTATAAGCAGGCATCAAGGGATCAGATTTGCAATTCATAAGTGTTACCTTGCCTGTAGTGTGGAGAAAGATAAGGAGACAAAGTACTGGTGGGGATAGCAAGCTGTTAACCCAGGAAAAATGGAGATAGCGACATAGATTTAGCGTTCTAGAAATTGCTCTAAAGAAATGTAAACTAAATGAAAAGATTTGGGAGTTAGGAATGGTATATACGAAAGAAGTCAAGGGTTAGGTTTTGTTCCCCTTGTATGACTTAATAGTGTGACGTTAATTATACTGTTAAACTGATCACTAAACAATAAGTTGTTACGCTGGGCCTGGTGGCTTTTCTGTAATCCCAGCGCTCGGGAGGCTGAGGCAGAAGGATCACTGCTACGAGTTTGAGGTTATCCTGGGCTACTTAGTGAGTTCAAGGCCAGCCTGAACTACAAAGTGAGACCCTGTCTTGAGAAAACAAACAAAAAAGAAAAAAATTTGTTTTCTTGTACTTCACTATTTGTTGAGGATAAGTAACTTCTTTGTACGTTTTTTCTAGCCCCAGAGGCTTTTTATCAATAGATCTTCCCATTTGGGGACTTTGCTCATGTGCTCAGAGCAATTAGTTCTCTTTCTTTGCCAAATTCCCTTCCACCATATGTATCAGTAATACCAGAGATTCTCATAACTAATGAACATGTTTCAAATAGATTTAGAGAAAGAAAACTTTTTGATACCAAAAGATTTTGTGGACCGGGGATTTAGCTCAGCAGTTTGGTGGCCTGCCTTGCAAGCGCAAGGACCCGAGTTCAATCCTCAGTACCAAAAAAAAAAAAAAAGATTTTGTAATGTTTTATAGTAAGTTATTTTCCTGAATTAGTAATTCAGTGGATTTTGCTTTTCAGAACTAAAGTCATCCCTACCCCTAGCTTTTCAGTGCTCTGGGGAACTGTAACATGTAAAATCTCCTCTGGGGCGAAGAAAAATTTAAGCCCATGCGATTTAAAAATAAAAAAAAAATTACAGATACTCTATAAACTGAAAAAAATACCTAACCTATAAAGTCTCTGTTCAAATTTTAGATTCTGACTTTTTTCTCTCTCTCTTATAGTTCAAGTTTCTAAATCTCTGAAGGAGCGATTAGGCCTGTCATCTGGGCCAAACAGTGAGGAGACAACAGGTACTCAAAATTGTTCTGGTACTTTTATCCTTCACAGTTTTTCTTTGCCAGTTCCTCACTGGTATGAATTCCTGAATTGTATTCAAAAATAGGAAAATGAATGTTCATCACTGTGGTAATAGTGGAATACCCAACAAAATAGAATTAGATAAAAATTATCGTAGTTACATGCTGAGATAATTGCTGTCATGGAAAGTCATGTTCTGATGTGCCAGTGGTACGGCTCAGTGCCTGAGACACCCAAAGTGTAGGTTCATCTGCAGCATTATAAAAGGTCACGTTCTGAACACAAATCATACAGAAGAGCCAAATTGCATTGTATCAACTAAAGAAAGATTACAAAAGAGCACTCTGCGTGTATGTGGTACGGGTATGGAATGTAGGAACACTGCACAGAGCTACATCCCCAGCCCTTTCTATTTTGTTATTTTGAGATAGGAAGCATCTAGCTGAGTTGCTTGGGCTGTCTTCAAACTTGAGACCCTTGTACCTCAGCCTCTAAAGGAACTAGGATTTCAAGCATGCACCATCAAGCCTGGCTTTTTCTTTTTTCTTTAAGTTTATTTTCTTGCCAAAGAAATGTATTCTCAGAAAAAAACATGTAATCTGTATACGACATGTGATCCAGAAATACAGCGAATCTTGTTGCATGCCATCAGAAAAATTTATAGTGTGTCCTTCTCCACCTTATTGATCAGACCTGACATTGTGCAACTTCTGGCTTTTTCACAAAGTCAAATGACCGTGAAAAGTAAACATTTTATGCTGGGCATGTAGTGCACATCTGTAATTCCAGCACTTGGGAGGCTGAGATAGGATTGCTGCAAGGTTGAGGCCAGCCTGGGTTACAGAATGGGGTTCGAGGTCAGCCTGAGCTACATGATGAGACAGACACTGTCTCAAAAATAAAAAAAAAAAAAAAAAAAAAAAAAAAAATGGGGGGGGATCGATTAAGGATGAAAGCTACAACAGTGCAATTAAAGACATGATAGAGGACTTACAGAACTTCTGAAAGTGGCAAGAACGATGTGTGTTTGAATCAAAGGGGAATATTTTGAGGGGGATTAATGGCAACATGTGGACCTCCTGGAAGATGGCAGAGTGGTAAAGTGCAGAGAAACAGCCTCTCCAAGATTTGGTGTCCTGACGCTGTATATAGCAACATGAGAAAGACAAGGAAGAAAGTGGGTCCCCAGGTCCAGTGAGGATCTGAAGGGAGAATTGAAGCCCATAAGGAGAGTGAAGAGAAAGACTCCAGCAAAGAAGGAGGTGACAAGTTGTATTGTATGCCCAAGCTCTGCCTCACTGCGTGGAATGCGGGGAGGGGGTTCCTCAAACCTGCAAACACACAGTGACTATTGGCAACCCGAGAGGCCTCCACAGAGAACAGCACCAATAAAACCAAGCAGTGGATGCAGCTGACTGCAGTGGCTGGTGAGTTATTCAGGTTCAGAAGTCCTCTAGGAGAGGGCAGTTAACCAATTGCCATCTTGGAGAGAGGGGTCAGCTGAGCTTGGAACTCAGAGCTGTTGCAAGCTGGCTCCTTCAGGGTAAGACAGAACCAAGATCAAGTCAGCAGGCAATCGAGGAGCCAAGTTCAAGCTGGCAGGAGGTACACAGAGTGTTTTAGGTTTAACAAATCAGGTTCCAGCCTCACAGCCAGAAACCAGTCTGAGCTTCAGAAGTAAAGGCAAATGCTCCCTAGGACTATTGACTGCCCAAAAATAAATCTATGGCTGGCTCATTGATATTAATCAACACAGATCTGGGCTCTCTCTGCCCACTTTGTCTACCAGTGACACTAGAGACCTTACCCCTGCCCTTTTTCTTTTCTTTTTCTGAAATAGGGTCTGGCTAAGTTGCAGTATTGCTGTCTTGTACTTTTGTTGTTTGGTTTTTTTTTGAGACAGGGTCTCATTATATAATTCAGACTGATTTTAAACTTAACTATGTAGCCCAAGCTGGCCCCTAACTCACAGTGATCCTCCTACCTTAGCCTCTCTAGTACTGGGATTACAGGCCTGCACCATCACACCTGGCACTGTATTGTTCATTTGTTCATTCTTTCATTTCATTTCATTTGTTTGTTTGTTTGTTTATTTGTACTGGGGATTGAACTCAGGTCCTTGCGCTTGCAAGGCAGGCCACCGAACCGCTGAGCTAAATCCCCGGCACTGTACTTTATTTCTAATGGTAATCGTAGTTATAAAAATGTTAAGAGTGATACTCCTAAGCCTAAAAGGCTTTTATTAGCCCAGTAAAAGGCTAGTATTACCTAGAAAAATGTAAAAGTTCTGGGAAACCTCCATGAATTGTTTCTAATTACATTCTTTATAGCAAAAATCTGTTCAATACATATAAATCTTGGCACGTCACAAGTTGCAGAACAAAATACTGACAAGTACTTGAGTATGACTATTTTAGTTGATGAGGTTTATGACAACAGAGTTCACCAACTGTTAAGAATTTATTTATGTGAATAAATAGCTCCATGGACTTTTGCTTCTTTAGAGTTTTCATGCAGGGCTACTACCTACCTGAAATAAGCAGTGATCTAAAATTGAAAGTGAAACTGATGTGATAACTTTTGATCATTTTGTCTGCCTGAGTGATACCTGTACATTGCACTGTATTGATCCAACAGTAGAGAGGTCATAAGTCATTAGATAAACTCCAAGTATAATGACTTATTTTTCCCAAAACAGAGAGAATTAATAAAACTGGTGAGATCCACGTGAAAACATTAGAAGAAATTCTTCTTGAAAGAGCTAGTCAGAAACGTGGAGAATTGGAAACTAAACTCAAGACAGAGGGACCGTCAAAAGCTGATGAGTCTACATCAGGAACAAGAAGCTCCTCCACTGTCCGCATTAAAACATTCTCTGAGGTCCTGGCTGAAAAAAAACATCGGCAGCAGGAGACAGAGAGACAAAAAAGCAAAAAAGATGCAACTTGCATGAAGCTAAAGACTGATGGTGAAATTAAAAAAACAGTGATTTTGCCTCCCATCACTATCAGCAAAGGACAATCAGAGGAGCCTTCAGCTAGAACAAAATCTATGCAGGAGGTGCACATCAAGACACTGGAGGAAATTAAGCTGGAAAAGGCTCTGAGGGTACAGCAGAGCTCTGAGAGCAGCACAGGCTCCCAGCCCCATTCCGAGGCCACCCTGGGGATGAGGCGGCTGCTCCGAATCACCAAAAGAACAGGTTTGTAACCTACTTCTCTGAGTAATAGCCCAAAGAGTAGTGTGCCTGCTGTCTTCATAGTTCCTTGAGAACTTTATCTAGATTTTGAAAACCACTGGAAAATCAGGGAAGCTGTTTGTTTATAGCAACACTAGATCTTTGATGTTTTAATGTATCTTTTGAGACTTTGTCTATAGGTTACTGGCATAATCATATTACTGTCATTAAGAGAAGTACTATTTAACTTCATCTCATGAAGTTGCCACCTAAATCACTAATGATATCTTTGAATATAGGTATGAAAGAAGAGAAAAAGCTTCAGGAAGAAAATGAAGTGGCTTCTCAGAATAGTGCTACAAGGACAGAGGCCAGTGAGGTAAGTTGGTTTAAAATCACTGTGTAGCTAGGTGTGGTCGTGCACACCTGTGATCCCAGCACTCAGCAGGCTGAGGCAGGAGGATTGCTGTGAGGTCAAGGCCAGGCTGAACTACAAAGCAAGACCCTTTCTCAAAAGAAAAAAAATAATTATGTGTCTTTGTCCATGGCAAACAGAACCTAGGTGGATGGTAAAATGAACTTTTTACTTTTAGCTGACAATAAATGTCTGTCTGTCAAACATATTGCTGATATGTTAGGTGCCAGTCTCTATGAAAGTTTCCAGTACTCAGTGTTTGCCTTTGCCTTTATAAAGCTTTTTTTTTTAACTGACCATAATATTTTTTAAATGTTTTTCGCCCTGCTTCTGAATCCTGCATTGAACAAAATCTAGTAAACTTTTCTAGAATTCTCTTTTTGGTTTTTTGAGACAGGGTCTCACTATGTAGTTGAGACTGACCTGGAACTCACTATGTAGCCCAGGCTGGTCTCCATCTCACAGCGATCCTCCTGCTTCAGCCTCCCGAATGCTGGGATTACAGGCGTGAGCCACCAAGCCTGGCTCTTTTTTTTTAAACAAGGGTCTGGCTATGTGGTTCAGCCTGGCCTTGAATTCACTATGTAGCCCACCCAGGCTGGTCTCAAACATAATGGCAATCCTTCATCCTCAGCCTCCCGAGTAGTGGAATCACAGGCATGTGTCACCACTAATTTGACTTCTGGTTGTACGTGTTTTGCTTGAAAAATGTGGGTTATTTTTAGGCCTTCACTTTTAGCATTACAGTCTTTCATTGTTAGCATTGTATTCTCTGTGATATCAAGGAGCTTTTCAGGTTCTGGATCATGTAACACTCCATTTAACTTCAGTATTCGTCTGGTACTTCATAAATCACCATAGTTTTTTTGTTTTTTTTTCTTTTTTCTTTTTTTGGTACTGGGGTTTGAACTCCAGACCTTCCACTTGCAAGGCAGGCAGTGGAACCACTGAGCTAAATCCCCAGCCCCCGATTATCATAGGTTTTTGTTTTTGCACTGGGGCTAGGACTCGGGACCTTGTGCTTGCGAGGTAGGCACGGTGCCACTGAGCTAAATCCCTGGCCCCGTCATAGGTTTTTAAAAGTACTGATTTTAATTTTGTCATTTTATATTTGCCAGAAGGCTTCAGATGAGACTGTAGGAGTTGATACCACAACAGCTTCAGTCAAGAGATGTGAGACCATGAGAGAGAATCATATGCAGAAACAGGAGAGGGGAGCCTTCCAGAAGGAAAAATCGGTCTTGACACCCCTTCAGAGAGATGCGGCCTCTTGCAATTCCCATGTGGAGAAACCTGCGCTCACTGCCTTGGCAGGTATCACGCAACACCTTACCAAGAGGCTTCCAACAAAGTCCTGCCAGAAGTTAGAGGTAGAAACCTCAGGGATTGGGGACTCAATAGTAAATGTGAAATGTGCAGCACCGTGTTTGGAAAAAAGGGGTAAAGGTGAGTGTTTTTATAGTATGTCTTGCTTTGGGATATTAAAATTACAATACCAAGTTTCAGTAACTTCTTGGCAACAGTTGGATTGGATTTCATTTATCTTGTATACTGATCACATTGATGGGTCGTATTACTAAACTAGGTGATTTTCTCAATTATAAATTTCTGTTTAAATTGCTTTGTTGAGAAAACTTCCTATGGTGTATTTTTCCTCTGATTTGTTTTTATTTTGTTTTGTGTTTTTGGTATTGGGGATCAAACTCAGGACCTTGTGGCTGCGAGGCAGGTGCAGTGGCACTGAGCTAAATACCCTTTTTCCTCTGATTTTGAAAAAGAAAAAATACCAGGGAATAGAGTAGGGACAAGTTCAAGAACCAGTGAAACGGATTGAGTGTGTATCATCTACATTATAATCACCTGTGTGAGATTATTTCAGTCTGGGATTTTAAGTATTTTCTAGTATAATAGGAATTTTGATATTTTATTGAGTTATTCTTTATGTACAAGATACTATTCTAGCTGTTAATCAGATATTTTCTGTTCCTTGTAGCTAAACCCAAATTAAATGTGAAGCCATCTGTGGTTAAAGTTGCTTCATCTCCCAAACTGGCCCAGAAGCGCAAGGCCTCGGAGATGCACCCTGCTGTTGCAGCTGTGAAGCCACTCAGCTCCAGCAGCGCCCTCCAGGAAATCCCAGCCAAGAGAGCAGCTATGGTAAGAAGCAGCACCTCCACCTCAGGCTGCTTTGTTGTGTGTCTGTCTGTGTGCAGCGCTTCGTGCCATTTTCTGTGCATTTTGATTGTTTAGATTGTTGCTGTATTTTACACATACACTTAGACATTTGTGAAGTGTTAGGACAGGATTTTTGTAAAAACGAATTTTTGAATGGTAAGATATTTTGCTCAACCTTTGGGTTATCGATTCTTGGATTCCTCGGTTTGGAGAATGATGGGAGCCAGGTGGTGCACACCTGTAATCCCAGCACTCTGGAGGCTGAGGCAGGAGAACTACCCCAAGTTTGAGGCCAGTGGGCTGGGGATGTACCCAGTGGTGGAGTGCTTACCTGGCATACACAAGCCCCAGTACCCTAAAGGGGAGGAGGGAGAAATAGCCATGATTCTAAAAAGACAGCGAAAGAAAATGGATGGACTGCGATGCCAACACGCGCCTCTTACTGGATTACCTCACTCTTCCTTGTGTAGGCCGTTGTCCCGCTGCCCTCTGAGGACGAATCAGTCACTGTGTCTGAGACAGAAACACCTCGAGAAAGGTAATGCGCTGTGATTTCTCCTCAGCTGTGGGCCACTGGATTGTTTATGCTTTCTAGAGAATAACGCTTAAAAGTTGAACTACATTTAAGTAAATCTGCTGAACTTCAAGCTAATTCTGAAGAAAACATGAAATTCGGATTATTCTCCTTTGGCACCATTGTTTATAGTTTGCCTACATTATCCAAAAGCTGTTTTTAATACCTGGCTAAATGATACCCTTAAATTGTAATCATGCTTGGTCTCAGATTACTAAAGTAGTTTTGTCTTACATATGTGCTCAGAAGACAAACAACTTTGGTTAACTCCATGTGCCCCTGAGCCGAGGTGGGTCAGTAACCACTGAGAAGAGGTACACTTGGTTCTCATGATCCTTTTCCTTCTTTCTTAACAGTTTTGTGCTGCCTCCAACCCAGTCCTCTTCAGACCCCACACCCCCAGAAGGATCGGGCCCTTCCTCCCAAACAGCCACGAAAACTCGCCGGCTCAGCTCGGCCTCCACAGGAAAGCCCCCTCTCTCTGTAGAGGATGACTTTGAGAAGCTCATATGGGAGATTTCAGGAGGCAAATTAGAAGCTGAGATTGACCTGGATCCTGGGAAAGATGAAGACGACCTTCTGCTTGAACTCTCAGAAATGATTGATAGCTGAAGGTGCCAGTGAGAGAAGAACACTTAAAAAAAAACACCAAAAAGACTTTGTTTCATTTATTCTAACAATGTACCTGAGATGATTATTTCTTTATTCTTGGATTTGCCCCAAATCAGAAGTATACCTCTGAATTACTGTATGTGTCCTGGATTACTTCGGGTTAGATTTTTCAAGACCCTTGCTAAACATTTTGTCCATTTAATGCCATTGTTAAGCATCTTTGAGAAAAGTTCTGTAATAACCTTCTCTCCACAAAAAAAAAAAAAAGAAAAAAAAAAGACTGAGAGGGAGCTGAGTTGAAAGGGTGTGAGAGAACTTAGTGATGCCTTGAGGTATTTGTCATGTTTATCTGTTTTCCCCTCGTTGTATCCTTTCTTTCATGTATTGTCTTAATGTACTTCATATTGTGTGTGTTTGAGATTGATGACAGCTGCTACCATTGTGGACCAAATTCCATACCACCACTAAACAGGAACCCCACCTCTCTGCGTAAATTATGTGTCTTTTTAAAGGTATTTGGAGATTTCATCTAAGCTTTAAAGAGAGCCGAGTAGCTCAAGAAAACAAATATGGACATAATTCTTTGTACACAATTTTGATGCTTCAGCAGCTCTGTAAGCCTCTGAAGAGCAATAGCTAATTTATTATTACTGTAATTTTTTAAAAGGCTTTAAAGTGCCTCAGGGGTCCCCTGATCCTAATTTTCTACTTCTGGGATTCCCTGGATTAGAGGAATTATTTTTTAGTATGGAAGTCGTCCCTTCTTTTCTTCAGTACACGCCTTCCTTCTGGCATTGAATTATCACAGGGACATAAAGTGGTCAATTTTTAAATTTCTAACTCCCAGCAAGCTCCTCTTGCCCAGTACTCATTTGGTGCCCTTTAAACACCTGAATGGAAAAGAAAAAACTCGTTAAAGCTGCAATTACCTAAGGACCATAGCTGTACAGCAAATTGTACTGTAGCTGGGGTTTTGAGATGCTCTGGGGGTGTATTGCATACCTTCCAGTTTCTTCATTTCTGAATTTTTCTTTTCTTGATGTTGATCTCCTTCATATCACCTCAAGGTTTAGACTTGTGAAGGAACAAGTATGATGGGGGATAATAGTCTTAAAAGGAGACATTGTACATAATCAGGAGGAGGAAAGAAGGACCTGCCCGCTTTGACATTTTGCTGTAGGTGGCCAGTTTTGTTTCTCATAGGGAAATTGAACCACCTGTCATGTTGGCTCCTAAGGAACTGCTGTTGTAAGTGGCTCATCAAGAGTTGAACTTCATGTAGCCTTTTTGGGAATACAGAAAAGGAAGAAAGCCACGGGACTGCCCATTCAGTCGGGAAGATCTGGATGATTCTGCACACGTGAAAAAGACTTGAAATTTATGTACAGACACCTCTACCAGTTCATCTCCAGCTGACTGAATGTTGTATTATAGCCCTTCTCCAAAGCAGGGGTGGAATGTTTGGTTTCACCACAGATTTTATGAACTCATTTCATTTTTGGAATCAAGGATTCCAGGTACTTTTGTATATAACTGTTCTTTTGCTTTTTTAAAAATGATTGGTTTCATATTTAAAACCCTTGTATTAGTCAATGATTCATGTTCACCGTTATTTGAATCATTTGCCATTACAGAAAGAGAAATACTTATTTGTGTTTCAAATAAAACTGGTGTAGGAAAGTCTTGACGTGGTGAGTTAAGTAGTTTTGTATTTAGCCCAGGTCCACCTTGATAAGCAGCCCCAGCAGTCACTGGCCTTTCATGTGAATCCCTAGTTTCTCTTAGGGTTTACAAACCTTTCTCCAGGACAAACTCAAACTTAGCCGTAACTATGCTCAGCTGTAGCTGTGTAACTATCTAAAAAATGTATGCTATACGGGGGGACTTTGTCTAACCCTGATACTTTGTCCTCCTCCCTGTAACTGAAGTGGCATCATTTTTTAAAGGGGGAAGGGTTTAAAAGTGATCTTATATGCAGTGATTTAGAATTTTAAAGCAGGAAGGTGGAACAGTTGAATTCAGAAGACGTCAGGTATTTTCAGTATGTGTAGCTGTTTTTGTTACACGTGAGTTCACACAAAGTCGTTAGTGACCAAAGTGCACAAGGCCCTGGGCTGAGTCACTAGCACGGGTTAGGGGAGGGGGTCCCAGAAGGTTCAATCAACTTCACGAAAAGCAAAACTAGGTAGGTTTCAATTTTATAAGAAATGGGCCCAAATGTTGCAGTTTGTCCATCTTTAAAAATCTCAGGATATGTTTCAAGATAAATAATCTGGAGTTCTGACCTTAAATTAACACTAAACCCCATTGGATCACCTCCCACATACCAGACTGTGCTTTCATCTCAAAGCTTTGGAGCCAGCACAGACTGGACTGAGTAATCAGCTACACCGAGCTTGATGAGTACTGATCCTCGTCTGCCACTGTGGCTTTGCCAAGCGTGGTGGTACACACCTTTATCCCAGCACCGTGAGAGGCCGAGACAGGAAGGTCAGAAATTCAAACGCAACTTGAACAATTTAGACCCTGTCTCAAAATTTTACAAAGGGGTGGCGGGCATGTAGCTCAGTGTGAAGGCTCAGGATTCCATCCCCAGTGGGAGGAGGGACCTTGCCCTTTATTTTGCCAGAAAAAGAATTCCACAAATTTAAAAAATATTTGATAGCTTTGAATTTTGCAATAGGAAATGCATGGTCTTTGGTTGTAACTGCTTAAAAAGTAACTTCATCTTTTTGACTCTGAGGCAGGGTCTCACTATGTAGCCCAGGCGGGCCTGGAACGCCTCGGTTTCTTGAGTGCTGGGATTACAGGTATGTACTACCCTACTTGGCAGTAACACTATTTTAAACTAACATTTTTTGAGTACTTTTAATTCATATACCATTTTGACATTAAATCCTATACTGCACTGAAAACAGCTGGGTGTGGTGGCACACACCTGTAATCCTAGCACTCAGGAGGCTGAGGCAGGAGGATCACTAGGAGTTGGAAGCCAGCCTGGGCTACATAGAACTTTCAAAAAAAAACAAGTGAAACAAAAAAAAGATCACTATGGGCTGAGGATTTAGCTCAATGGTTCTGCTGCTGGCCTTGCAAGTGCAGGGTCCTGAGTTTGATCCCCAGTACCAAAAAAACAAGCAAACAAAAAGAATATTGTGTTCAGATTTAAATATATATGTATATATATATGTACATCCCCCACCCCTTAAGTACCACTGGGTATATTTGAGCTTTTTTTTTTTTTTTTTTTTTTTTTTTTTTTT